AATAAAATAACACCAATCTCCTATGAGGTATGCATTTAGAGCTCCTAGTACCTGACAAACGTCAGCAGAAAATAGTTTTACCCAGATCTAAATAAGTGCTGCTGACGAGACATTTCAAGTTTGTTTATCATTGAATTTTTTTCAGCCTGAAAAGAGAGAGAGAGAGAGAGAGATTGAAAACAAACAAGTCAAAAACACAGATCTCCACATCATCCCTTGTCATTTCATATTTATCTTTCCCCATTACACCCTATAGTGGATTCCCTTTCATTCTCAGTTTGTGTGCCGAGAATACTACAATCCACTACTATGGAGTTCATTGACCATTTGTAAATTGGTCAATGCATTTGACCAATTGCAAATGCATTGCAATTGATCAATGGTAAGTCTAAGATAAAAAATAAAAAAAAATCAAAAAGTTTTGATTTCTTTTTTTCTTTTTTTCTTTTTTTTTTGACCAACCTACTCTTTAGCCATAGCTTCATGTTTTCCTGCACTGTTCTGACCTCGTGTTTTGATACAGTCAGAAGAAACTTTGCTCTTTCCTCAAAAACCATAAGATTAAGAACACACACATATTAATCTTCCGCGCATTCCCTCCAACAACATAACAGATCCCTCTCATGTGAGCGCCTTCGATCTGAGCAATGTTTTCACATCACTCCATCCTTTCCTTTACTGGGGCATAAAATTACCCTTAAGTCAGTGTTCGACTGTCTACTTTCCCATCACTCTGCTATGATGAGGTTCGCCACCACCCCAAGAGCCAGTTGGCTCATTTAATCCCCCTGTCAGCCAATATCAAACAGATGTCAGCATCAAAGAGGAACCAATCTATAAATCACAGCTTGTGTGTTGTGTTATGTTGGGGGGGAGGTGGGAGGTAGGACATAAGAGAAGAACCACCCATCTTACAAGGAGCAGTTTCCCTCAGGGCATGTCCATCCACCGCTCTTCACAAAAGGATCTTTCTTCTCTGTACCAGTCCTCACCATTGTCGTACCCTGATCCCATAGCCTCCTCTTCTACAGTACCTGAGTTCTAGCTTGCACAGATCCTCAGACTGCCTAGGGTATTAATGTCTCCCTGAAAAGCCAAAGTGAAGGCCTCCCACGTTTGAATAAGAAAGGATGAAGAGACGGGCATGGGGGAGAAAAAAAAAATCAACATTGAATTACAGAAGGTTTCCTGTGTACAACTTGATCTCCTTGTCGTCGGGTGGTAGACGGGTGTGTTTGCGTGTTTGTTTGCGTGTCTGTGTGCGGGCTTGGCTTGTAGGTGAATAGAAGCACTGAAATCCCATCGGTAGCGGTGCGGATCCTGTGTCGTATGCCAGGAGACTGACTGCAGCTTGTCTACTGCTATCCTAGACCAAGGGAATGTTGTACCTATGCAACCTTTTGTCATATATCTTGTTGACTTTAACATGTACCTACATAGGCTACATTTGGTTTCTCTTCCTGACGACCACATCAAGATTTGTAGCCACTGCATATGCAATGTCCCGTTTTCTTTAAATACTTTAAAATTGTACAGTGTCAACCATTCAGCATGTCTTATTTGAAAATACATGAATGTGCAAATACTGAACCGTAAATGGACAGAGGTCCAAATAGTGCTTATTTTAATAAGCAAATGTGACTCTACTGTTGTTTTGTTTTGGTAGTGCAAAGACACAAATGGAGAATATTTTTAAGCATGCACAGCCATTTTGCCATGTCAGGTACCAAGAACTAGGTAGAAAAATAAAAGCTTATTTTCAAAGAAAAGACCTTCTGAAATGGCGCAGGTCTATGGAACAAGATTACTTTAAAAGGCTACAAGGAAGTCTGTCTCCTATAAAGCAAAGCATAAAGAAGTTAGAGGAACTCATTTGTTTAAACTATTCAAACCCTGAAGAGTGCAATCTACAACTTGCTGCCTACGGGAGTTTATGTGCCAAACTATTTCTTGGCTTGGAGCAGTAACTTCCTGGAGTCTCTGCTCGTTGCCTGACAACTAAACAATGAGATGTAACAAAATCAAACTGGGAATAGCACAATCCTGTTTTCTACATCTCTGAGACAAGGATGCCTAATTCAGTTCAGCAAAGCTTTGAAAAACTGTTTCTCTTCAGATGAACTTGAACTCCATTTTTGCAAATCCATTCACAAACATGGCCGAGTTTGTGTGTCGGTTTCTGTCCCAGGGATCCTCTCGCTGATTATTTACACATGGCCTTTGCGATGAACAAGGAGAGGACTACGCAGATGAAGAACGCTCCTTACTGCTCGTGTGCACAGTCCGTCACTGGTTCATATCTGTTTCCTCCATGTGACATAATCTTAGCTGAGAAATGGCCAAGCAGTGCGAAGTGTCATCGCCGCATGCTACTGGCACAGTAAAAACATTCAGCTGTCCAGTGTTTCCGATCGTGGTAAATGTCAGTATGTACAAGAAGCTGTCAAGTTGCATTTCCTTTTTCTGGAGACGAGTAACACCAGAGTCGATCCCCCGCGGGGTTGGAGGGAGTTCAGCTGTTTAGTTGGACAGTGAGCTCTTCAAGGCCTCATCCTTTTACATACCGTTGTCTAATGTCGAAAGTCTTAACTTCCAGTCTTTCAGTTTCTTAATTAAATTGCTAGAGCTTGTGCAGTTAGAAAGGAAGTGCTCATATTCTACTGTTTTTCTCTAATGTCTGGTATCCGTCGGTGTTGATGTGCGAGGCATCTCAGGAATGCCCGAGCCTCCGCTTATCAGCGGAATCGGTTTTTATCGGTCACTGGGTTTAAATTAAGTGTTTCTAGATTGCGGCTGATTGCTACAATTTGTGCTGTCTGCGCCGCTGTTCCAACTTTAGCAAAGAAACTCAGCAGAGCGTGGGAGGAGGAGGAAAGGGGGTGAAAGAGAGATTCCAAGAAAAAAAAAAAAAACAGCATCCACCATAAACCATTAAGGCCTGAGGCGTAGCTTAAACATGGACACATGTCAGGCGACTGCGTGTTATAACTCTGGAATCATACGTGTGTGAAACCTAATTCTTTTCCTACGTAAGGTTAGAGAGAACCCCACCTGCTGCACACACATTGTTCTCAGACTTCATAGGAAGTAGATGTGATTGCAGAAGCATGACCTAACGCCAGCCGGTGTTTGTTTTAGGTCTCCCAGGTGACCAGATGCTGGAGGAAGGAAACCGAGCCTCCATCACCAGAGACTGTCATTTAGGAACATGTTACTCTTCGTGTGTGTGTGTGTGTGTGTCAATATTTTCCAGCCCAGTGTGCGTTGTATATGATTACCATGCGCATATGGGTGGGTAGTGCAGATGTTTTGGACCACCTGGTTCAGCTCGCTAGCTAGCACAAAACGTACACGACGAAACACTGACACACATCTATTACATTTTTCTCTCTCTCTCTCTTTCTCTGTTTTTGTTGCGAACGTTTACCAAACTTTTCCAGGTGTTAAAGGAGAGCGGTCCGCCTCACATGAAAAGCTTCCTGACCCGTGTCACCGTCGGAGAGTTCTCTGCCGAGGGCGAGGGGAACAGCAAGAAGCTGTCCAAGAAGCGTGCCGCTCTGTCCATCCTACAGGACCTGAAGAAGCTCCCCTTCATACCGACCGTGGAGAAACCCAAGACACACTACAAGAAACGCACCAAGACTATCCTCAAGGTGCTGCAGGCCGGGGGTGGGTGGGGCCTCGGGGGGCGGTGATGGGGGTGCTCAAGGCTTTGGCTGGCGTAAGGTTCTCATTTGAGCAACACCACAGTTTTATCAGGTTATCCTTTGAACTTTACTCAAAACTTAAAACTAAAAATAATATAATATGTTAATTATTACAAGTATAGTACGACTATCATAGGACCCCACTGTCCTGTATGATTTAGGTGCTTCCTAGCTCCTGTGCACCTGACCTAAATGAGTAGGTGATTAACTGGCTTCTCCATGATGTCATGCTGAGGAATCATTTAAATCAGTGGTGCTGGAGCAGACACTGTAGTTGGGACCACTGATCAATAACACTTAAGTCATTTTGATTTTGTTTCGTAAACTAAAGCTATAGTTTTCAATTAAAGCTCC